AAATTCATGAATCACAGCGTCCTCGTCCCTTCACGGAGACAACATAGCGAGGAGAGAGACAGAGAGAGAGATCACGAGGCAGAGACAGAGAGACAGACAGACGGAGACACAGACAGACAGAGATCGCGAGACAGAGACACAGAGAGAGAGAGATCAGACAGAGACACAGACAGACAGAGATCGCGAGACAACAACAGAGAGACAGAGATCACGAGACAAACAGAGACAGGGAGAGAGAGATCGCAGGTTTGTAGCGGTTCGCGGGACAGCGGCAGCGTCGTGTCGATGATCACGGCTCAGTGGAGGCTTTGATGGGGTCCCGGGATGGGAGCGAGCGCTGAGTGGAGGCGCTAAGAAGCGGTTTAATCACAGAGCGTGGTAAGCCGAGGCTGTATGAGGATGGTGGTGCTGGTGGTGGCTGGTGGTGATGCTGCTGCTGGTAGCGGTAGTGTAGTGGTTAGCGCGCTGTGCTACGAACCTGGCGACCCGGGTTCGATTCCCGCTCACGGCCAACACCAGTGACGATTATCTGAACAGGTCCTCGGCCTCCCCTAGGTCGACTCAGCCTCAAATGAGTACCGGTGCGATGTGTAAACATCGCCACTAGGGAGACAAAGGTGACCGGGCGTAGTGTTGGCCACCCCCTCGTGTGCCGTGCCGGCCTTTATAGGTGCTCGCTAACAGCACTTACCCCTACAGTCTATTACAGGCTACACGGGGGATCTTGTCTTTGCTGCTGATGGTGGTGGTGCTGCTGCTGGGTGGTGGTGGTGCTGGTGGTGGTCGTGGTGGTGGTGGTGCTGGTGGTGGTGGTGCTGGTGGTGGTGGTGCTGGTGGTGGTGCTGGTGGTGGTGCTACTGCTGCTGCTGGTGGTGCTGCTGGTGGTGCTGATGGTGGTGCTGGTGCTGCTGATGGTGGTGGTGCTGGTGTTGGTGCTGGTGGTGGTGCTGGTGGTGGTGCTGGTGGTGGTGGTGCCTTGCGCTGGTGGTGCTGGTGGTGGTGCTGGTCGTGGTGGCTGGTGGTGGTGGTGGTGTGCTGGTGGTGGTGTGCTGGGTGGTGCTGGTGCTGCTGATGGTGGTGGTGCTGGTGTTCGTGCGGGTGGTGGTGTGCTGGTGGTGCCTTGCGCTGGTGGTGCTGGTGGTGGTGCTGGTCGTGGTGGTGCTGGTGGTGCTGGTGGTAGTGCTGGTGGTGCTGGTGCTGCTGATGGTTGTGGTGCAGATGTTGGTGCTGGTGGAGGTGCTGGTGGTGCCTTGCGCTGGTGGTGCTGGTGGTGGTGCTGGTCGTGGTGGTGCTGGTGGTGGTGCTGGTGGTGCTGCTGGTGGTGGTGCTGGTGGTGCCTTGTGCTGGTGGTGCTGGTGGTGGTGCTGGTCGTGGTGGTGCTGGTGGTGGTGGTGCTGGTGCTAGTGGTGGTGCTTGTTGCGGGGGCGACCCTCCCCCCTTCCTCCG